AAATGAGATAAGAATATTCATTTTAGTCACTAAGATTATGAGTAAATGTAAAGGATCATAGTTCCTTGCCTCAGACACGTGTAATTAATAGCATTTTTCATAATATATCTGAGCTGCAGCATTTTCCAGAAAATGTTCTTATTAAAGATTAAAATAAGAAGAACATTGCATTACGTCTTTGTAATAAGGAATATTCTGAAGGCTCATGTTATAACACAATACTTCATGGAGCATGCTGCCCTGCCTCTTGCCCTGGATGAATTGATGGTTAATACTTCACATGAAGTACATAGTAAGATCATCTGTGGTATGTGATTATTTCATGATAAAGGTTATTTCATTGACAACCTTTCATATTTGATATTGAGTACTCTAGAACAGCTTTTCACCCTACCATCATTTATCTAAACACTAAGTGTTTTAGTCTTTTGTTTGGAGAAAGGAGTCAATGAACTAGTTTTATGTTACCTATCTTTTTTCTTTTCACTTTGTGCTGCATCAGAATGTGAATTTATAGTTCTGATTGGGCCAATTTTAAGAGACAGCCAGAGAGAAAGAAGAATAATATGAAGAGCGATGTTACTGTTTACTTTAGACCAGTCATTGTCCTAAGCATTTCTTCCACAATGATCCATGTAATCTTCACAGTGTTTCTTGTGAAGTATGGAGTACTGCCATTTCCTTTTAAAGATGAGACTTGGAGTGGTGCAATTACCTATCCATAATAAAAGAGCTCGTAAGTGTTTCAGTCAAGATTCAGACTCAAGCCGTGTCACTCCACAGTCTGCACTCTTGCACTGCTACACAATAGCCACAATCAGTTGGTTTGAAGCTGGGAAGTTTAAAATGATGTGAGATTTTGTGGTATTCCAGCATTCATCCAAAAGACTGCATATCAGCCTGTAGTAAATGACACTTGAAAACATGCAAAGTGAGAATTTTATACCTTAACATGGTACAGCTCTAAGTTTGTATCAGCTCCGTGAAGATGAATAGAAATGAAACATATAATTTGGTGCTGAAAATTTAAAGGAAGAAAATATATGATATTTTGGGAAAGGAAAAACTACTCAGAAAGTTAAAAATTTGTGGTTAACAGGGATTGGGGTGGGGAAGAAGGAAGGGATGAATAGGTGGAGTACTGAGAATTTTTAGGGCACTGAAACTATCCTCTGTGATACTGCAATTATGTGTACATGTCTTATGCGTTTATCAAAACCGGTAGAACTATACAACACGAGTGAAACAATGTGATCTATGGACTTTAGTTAACAACAGTACATCAGCATTGGTTTGATAATTGTAACAAGTGTTAACACACTAAGGTAAGATTTTAATGATAGGAGAAACTGCCAGTGAGGAAGACAGGAGGTATATGGGAATTCCCCTTCCATCTACTCCGTTTCCTATAAACCTAAAACTGCTGCAAATAATAAAGCCTATTAGGGTTTTTTTTTGTGGGGGGAAGCAAAAAGGAAAAGAAAAGAAACTGTATGAATGAGCACATGACTGTAGCTGTGGATAAGTCAGGAAACAGATGATTAATTTCAGAATTAAAATATCTTTTCTGCTTTAGTACTGACATCCAGAAATTCCACATTCTCACTCAGTTACAATCCAATTCCACAAATACCTTTATTCTGTGCTCTCTATGTAACCATTGAGCTGTGAATTCTAGGTGAACCTTTTTTTTTTATTTGCCTCAGCCACTCCTTAAATAGAAAATGCAACACTAGTTCTAGAAAGTAACCTTAACTCTTTAAGACCGAAGGCGTATAATTAGAGTGTTTGAGTGGTTTCCCTGAATGCATCACTTAAAAAGTACTGAAGAAGGAAGTCTCTCCATCCATTTACAATTATTTTAATGAGGTTGCTCTTTTTTCCCATGCCCACTCAGCCCTTGTTAATAAACCAGCATTTGAGAGGCTTATTTACTCTCAATTTTAAATACAAAACAGTTTCTCTTGGCTAAGTGAAAGGAAGTGGGTAAATGTTGCCATTTCTTTAAGAGTGAAAAGTAGATTTAGGTGCCTACACTATTTGTCACTACTGAAGTCACAGCTTGAGAAGGAAATAGTTTTAGAAACAAAGTACCAGTGGACTCATAACCATGCTTTCCCCGCACAGCTAAAGCTAAATGTGAGACCTTGCTGGCAACAAGAGCAGAATGAGAGAAATCAAACAACTTTCTTATTCAAGAAAGTAGAGTCATGAGAGAGTCATGTTTTAGTCAAAAGCAAGGACTAGCTGAGTTTCCCATACAAATAGAAAATGCTTCCTCAGTTTTTCATATCTAGGACTAGTGGCTTGGTTGCCCCCAAAAGGGCAGATTTCCATTAAAAAATGACTTACATGAGTTATGTGAGCTTGTTATCATATCGATCATTTCAGGATCACTGGGTTAACTTAGTCTTTATAAGCACACAGGAGATTTTCTAAAGCACAATTTTGGAAGAGAAGATCTAACCCCACACCATGAAATGGTATTGCTATATACAATTTGACAGCTCTGAGAGGATGTGAGCATATTTACAAACTGTATATTGGTACTTTATAATTAAGGATTTGTATAACTGGTAACAAAAATCCTCATGAATATGCTATCAATAACATCATGAGCCAAAGTAGCAACAGATTTTAATTCTATTCTTTTTTTGGTTAAGGCCGTGGGGGTACAGTGGAAGGAGCCGTTATCTTTTTCTGTGTCCACCTGTTCCCAAATCATGTCTCCATTTCTACATTTAAATCTTACTGACATTGGGCTGGTTGCTTCCAGTTGTTCATTTTGATACATTAAGTGATCATGTATCAAACTTTTGTTTTAACAAATGACAGATTTTATTCCCTACTACACAGGAACTTTAATTCCATTGCTATTTCCTTCATAATTTCTGTTCCTCATGTTACTGTGCTATGCAATACAAGATCCATGATAGTGCAATTCTCCTCACTTCAATTACTTGTGCCTGTCATGGAAAACTTTCTGATATAAGCCATTGGTGGAATTTTGGAACACCTCCAGAAATTTCAAGACTTACTGCTAATTGGAAGAAGTTTTTTTCTTATTCCTTACTTACCAATGTCCCAACTCTTCTCTTTTTTGTGGGGGAGGAGTGCAGAGATGGAGTCTCACTCTGTTGCTCAGACTGGAGTACAATGGCGAATGGCATGATCTCAGCTTATGGCAACCTTCACCCCCCAGGTTCAAGCGATTATCCTGCCTCAGCATCCCAGGTAGCTGGAATTATGGGCAGCCACCACCATACCCAGCTAATTTTTGTATTATTAGTAGAGACGGGTTTCACCATGTTGATCAGGCTGGTCTCGAACTCCTGACCTCAGATGATCCACCCACCTTGGCCTCCCAAAATGCTGGGATTAGAGTCCTGAGTTACTGCACCAGGCCACTCCCATCTCTTCTAACCAATTTTGCTCTTAGGAAGCATTGTTTATGACAAAAAATATCCTTGAGCACCACATTTGTACTTACAATTGCTTGCATTTTCTCTATCTGCTATGCTCTTTTATAAGCTCTTTGCTTGCATCATTTATCTAATTTTTACAAAAAGTCTATGAGATAGGAATTTATTATACCCGTTTTACGGAAACTGAAGTGGGGAAAGATAAAGTACTTGCTAAATGTCACACATTTCACCAAGTAAATGAGGTCAGAGTTTGAACCCATAAAACCTTTCTCTAGGGTTCCTAATTCGAATTACAGACTTCTGGACGGGAGTACTTTAATTAAAATTAAAATATACCAATGTAAGTTGCTGTTTTGGAGCAAAACATCCTTGAAATTCTTATTACTATTAGTTATTATAATTGCTTTTCTTTCATGGCCTTTTCTCTTTTGACAGTCTGAATTGCAAAATTTTCTGTCTAATTTTGTGGTTCAGAATTTTAAATTTCAGTAGTGATTGAGTGTGATTATTTAATAGTTTACTGTCTTGCACAGTGCACTTCACTGCTCTAAGTACCGCACTCATTTTCTCCTGAGACCTAGTTATAATAGACACCACTGCCTCACTTTCCAGCAGATGGAGAATAATCTTGTTTTAATGTACGTCATTTACAATAGATAGAAGCCCTCAGATAACTTCTGGTAAAATAGGATGCTGAATCAGACATTTATTTTTAGTGGCAATTGCTGAAACATAGACTAGTCCACCCAGATGAAAATATGCCATATCACTTGACTCTACAGATAAAATGTGCTGAAATATTCTTTGTCATTTTCCATTTGAGATATCTGTTTTAGTTTTCTTAATATACCCTGAATCCCTTGCTTCTCTTTTAGCTTCTGAAAACGATTATACTTTCCACTTTAATAGCTACATCTTAGTTTTTGTTTCTATTTTTTGTTGAGAATCATGTAGTACAGAATAGTTGTATCAAAGTTAAAAGCATATACTCCAGATTCAGCAGACCTAGATTTGAATCCCAGCATAGCCACTTATTGACTAAATAGAAAATGTATATTAACCACCGAAAACTAGTTTTCTCACTTCATAATATTTCTGTCAATGTTTACAGTAAAAATCAAATGAATTAAAGCTTCTGAAATGATTATAATCTTGTTGTAAGTACTATTAATTTTAGTTATCTAACTTGAGACATCAAATGTACTATGATAAAAATCCCTGACACAAATAGATTTTTAAAAAGTAAAGATGAATTAATTCCTAGATGATCACATCATATATATATTATAATCACCTATAAATCACGTTTATGATACATATATATATATATATAATCTATGTGATTATATATTGGTCCTATGTAGATAGTGTCTATTAGGTTACTTGATGACTATCTTACATTAATTTATAAGTACTTTAATACCATTCTTGGAAAGAAGAAATGAAGAAGTTTTGTTATTATTTATTATGCATAATTATTGAATGTCTTCTTAATTTTCATTTTGGTTAATCTATGTAGACATGATTATTGGAAAATATAATTGGAACTGTATTTGTATAGAATTAAAAATGTTAATTGACACTTCAGCCAAATATATAGTAAAATTGGAATGATACAAAAAAGATTCCCCTGGCTCCTGCATAAGGATATTTGTGAAGCATTCCAGATATTAAATATTTTTATAAAAATTGCATTTTATGTGTGTTTGTGCATGCAATGATATAGTGTGGTAAAGAGTGGTAAAATGATAATAAATGGGGATTTTGAATGAGAGGTTTATGGGAACTTTTTGTATTATTGTAACTTGTATTTAGGACTAATTATTTAAAAGTTTAAAAGTTAATCAACTTTGTATTAGAAAATAAGTAAAAAAGAAGTGGCTACCAGTTTCCTAAATTAATGTGTTTCAACTATATTTCAGTGTCCACCTACAGAATTATTACTTCTGCAGTGGAGAGATTTCGTGTTCTATGAATATTGTGTTATAATATTTGGATTTGATAATACTCGGCACTGTCAGAAAAATGTATAAAAACAAAACCTTTTTCTAAAATTGTTTTCCAGTTCTTAAATCAAAAGTCTAATTGAGACATCTTATGCAAATTATTAAAGAATGCTATTTCTTCTTTACTCTGCTGCAACCAGTAAATATTTTCATGCATGAATACAGCCACACATAGAAGTTTTGACAATGCTCTGTGAATACAAACAATATGTTATTGTCAAAAATGGCAATGGGGAAGAGGAAGAGGTGATGGTTAATGGATATAAAAATATAGTTTAATAGAATGCATAGGATCTAGTATTTGATAACACAGCAGGGTGATTACAGTCAACAATAATTTATTATATATTTTTAAATAATTGAAAGAGCATAACTGGAATGTTTGTAACATAAAGAAATGATAAATCCATGAAGTGATAGATACCCCATTCACCCTGATATGATTGTTATGCATTATATGCCTATATCAAAATATCTCATGTACCCCCTTAAACATACACTTATATTCTCATAAAAATTAAAAATGTAAAAAAAAAAGAATTTCAGAGACGATGAGAATATGTTAATCAGAAAGAGCCTCACTGAGAAGATGACATTTAAGATGTTATCTAAAGGAAAAGATAAATGGTGGAAAGGAAAGTGAGAATCTAGGTAGGAAGCAGGAGAAACATGGAGAGGGAGCAAGTCTGTCATCTACAGGAAAGAGAGGGTTTACCTGAGAAGCCATTGGTATGGTTGGGTTAAACAGAGGAGTGATTCAGGTAGATGTATAATCCTGAAAGATAAAAAGGAGTGTTATGATAAAATATAGTGCATGTGGGTAAGGAAGCAAAAGTAGAAATGGAAATGGGGAGATTAGTGGGGAGCCTCTTTCAATAGTGTAGGATGGGTAGTGGTTGATGGCAGTGGGGTAGTACCTGCGTAAAAGGAAAGAACATCATTATAAGGAGCTTATGAACGTAAAAGGCATAGAAGAGATTTACTTTATTGGAAATTGCTATGGCTTAAGACTTGAACTGGACACATGCTAATAGCTGCAATAGCACATTTCCCATTTAAGAATATATTGCAACCTTGTTATTGCTAGCATTGAGTTAACCAGGACTTCTAACTAAAAATAATTTTATTTTTTAATTGAATATGAATTTAATCATAAGTATTCATACTACAAATTACACAGAACTTTTAATTGCTTGTTTTCCCATGTGCTATTGTTATTCCAAGTTCCTTAATTGTTCAATTATCCTTAAACTGATTAATAATACAATTTCATATTATATGGTTGAGGATGATAAGGAGGAAGATGAGGATGATGATGCATTCCCTAAATAAGCAGAATAATAATAAGTGAATAATTCGCTTGTAAATTATTGATATTATGAGCTTTTAAGAGACAAATACAAATCTAACAAATGATTTAAAATTATTAGCTAATATAGCTTATAATCCTGATGTTCCATGGGGATTGGTAACCTTTCTTATTATATTTATAATCCTAACTTTAATACATATGGTTATTTAATGAATGCTATCAATATTTCACCTCTAAAGAACTAACAGATATGTCCAGTAAATAGAGAAACAAAAATAAGAGGGTTGGTAAGCTGCAAGTATAACCTAGTATATTGGGAAGGGCTAGACCTATGTCAAAAATTTTGGCTTTCAGTTCTGTATTTGGGTAAATGGTTAATTCTCAGCTGATGATATCTAAAGCTGCTTTCGACTCCCAAATTTTGTGATTATTTTTGAAACATACTGGCAACTAGAGATCTCTGGCTACTTTTAATCTAGGAGTTTACGTTCATCACATCGTCTCTCTGCCCAATGACATGCTATGTATCAGTGAAGATATTTCATTGCCTATCATTGTTTTTTGACTGTATTGAGAAGGTGGATTCTTGAGAAAAATAGAAAAATCAAAGGCAGTTTGGCAAGCTAGAGGGAGGAATAAAATGATTAAAAACCTGTGCCATTGAGATAGTTGGTGAAACATAAATTTTAAAATAAGGGTTAGAAGGTTTAGTAGTTAGGTAGAAAAACATTATAGAAGGAATTTTCAATCAGCAGAGGATTTCTGGACCAGCTGCTACTGTATTTCTGATTGCCTTACCCCTTCTTAGAGTGACTCTGTGTCTTCTATATTTTAGAGTACATTTTCTGTCTAATGGAACTACGGGGATTTAAAACTGCTTCCCAAAATCTGGATTTCACCAGGATCTGTTTGTTACTATCACAGATAGAAATATGACCCCAAAATAGACATTATTATTATGACTACAGAGAAAAATAATGGAATTTGTGTTAGAGTACTCTTGGTTAAGTTCTAATTTGGTATCCTGCTAGTTGTTTTATGAAACTGTAAGAAAAATCACTTCTCTGACATTCAAAAGCAGCTTTTGTAAAATGTAAACAATTTTATCTATTCATTTATTCTGCTTAGGAAGTCATGAGAATTAAAGACAGTAACATATGAAGGTGCTTTTCTTGTTTAAGGAATGTTATGCATAGGTTTGCTCGTTTTTTATTCATCAGTTTAGGCTATTTAGTGTGACCATTGATGGACAATGGATGAAAACTGGGTAATTCCTTTACCTCTGTTAGTCAACTTTTTATTACCATAGCGTTGAGTAATCTTTATGTTGTGTCTTTATACCTGACACTAATTAAGAAAAAAAAAAAAAAAACCTGCACAGAACGCTTAGGTCTTATGGATCTTTAATAGATTACTTATTGTGGGATCATTAACTTCTTTGAAGGATTTTGACTTGCTACTTTCTAACTTTCATCTCCACCTCTGCCTCTATGTAGAGCATCAATTATCTTACCCATATTAAAGCTCTCCTTGTGTCATCCAATTTATGTAACAGCCAGAATTGAATCCAGTATTTTATGAATGCAATGTAGGTTAATGCTTTTCAAGGTCGTATTTTGTTTATTAGTAGTTTACCCACAAAAACAGCAAGATCATATCAAATTTTGAAGATCTTAAAGAATATTTCCAAATACTTAACATTAAATAGGTCTTAGACATGGTTTACCCAGGCAGAATATAATAATTTTGGATTGATACCTGTATTAGTTCATTTTCATGCTGCTGATAAAGACACCTGAGATCGGGTAATTTATAAAGAAAAAGAAATTTAGTGGACTCACATTTTCACATGGCTAGGGAGGCCTCACAATCATGATGGAAGGCGCATCTTACATGGCAGCAGACGAGATAATGCAAGTCAAGCGAAAGGGGAAACTCCTTATAAAATCATCAGATCTCATGAGATTGATTTACTACCACAAGAATAGTATGAGGGAACTGCTCCCATGATTCAGTTATCTCCCACCAAGTCCCTCCGACAACACATGGGAATTATGGGAGCTGCAATTCAAGATGAGACCTGGGTGAAGACACAGCCAAACCATATCAGTACCAGACCAGGGGTTGTAATCCTGACTTTTTCCAGGCATCTTTCTTATACACTCCAGTGTAAATTCTGAAATTATCATATGTCTAAATGGTCATCAGTCAGTAGAATCATCTTGTAATGTAAAACGGCATTATTACCAGGTGTTTAATTCATTTTTCAAAATTTAATTCAAATTATATCTTATAGTATAAACCCTTTAGTTATTGGAAATACATGAAATTGATTGACAGAAAAAAATTTTATAAGTATACACCCTAAACATATTTGTTGTGAAGCTAGCTGTTTCCTTTGTTTTAAATTAGGTAGTTTCTGAAAAAAAGCTTGAGACAACTGTTTGTGTTTAGGTGGTCTATCTGTGTGGTTATCACTGGAAGCAAGAATGAGAGATGAAGATTAAAGGAAGAGGGAAAAATACACCTCAGGTTGTATTACTGAGGTAAATGTGCTGAACTGAGGCTTGATTCTCCCTGGAACTTTCTGATAAACATAAAGGATGTTTGTCAGAGTGATCTTTCTGTGGATTGACAATGACAAACTTCTTTCTTCTGTTGATTGAGAAGTGCCTTGATGTATTAATGCCTTGGTTTCTTCTGCATGTCTAATGAACAAGATTTAGTTTGTTCAAGGTGAGATGCTGTCTGGAAAATCAAAACCCATATTTAACTATCCACCACAGATTCCACAAGAATTAAGTGCCTAGCGGATGCATGGAAGGATATTATACACATTGTCAATATATTTTGTGAACTTCAGTGATAAACTATCTATACAAGCACTGTTTATAAAACATCTAGGACCCAATATTACTGTTTTTATTCCTATATTTTCAATTTCTAATTTGGAAAGCCAGAATATAATTAAACGGAACTCTCTTTAGTTATTTTGTGTTTCTATGAAATACTGTGAATACTTTGAGATTTTATCCTATTTGCAAGCTAACTTCTTTGCCTGCCAAAGTTTCCTAGATCTTGGCAGAAGATATGATGCACTTGGGTCAAAGATAAAGTACTTTATGACTCCCAGTACAGCAGGCAGTATGAGCTGCAGGCTTGCATTGGTTCCCCTCATTTCCAGACATCACTGAAAAGATAAACAGCAGCACCAGGGTGTTTACATTCTGGAGGAAGACTCCAGGGCCTGTTCTAAAAGACAGAAGGTCGTCAGTGCCCCTCTATTCCCCATACCTCCCAGGATAATGTCATCCCTCCTTCAAATTCTGGATCTTTGCTTTTCCTTCCACCTCCACAAAATCTG